AAGGAAGACACTTATTTTTGCCATATGTCTCGATGAGACTACAACTACACAATATGATGACAAGAGATCAAGTGTGGCATTACGATTGTTGTAACTCATAATATTGAAGTTTATTAACCGATTCTTTGCGGCACCGATTTTCAGCAACTTTTAGCTGTGGCGGCGAACAAATATTTCCACGCCACAGAAGTTGATGACACACCTATCGTACCATCAGCCATGTGTAAAAATAATTTTCTTTTTTATGTTCTTTTTTTCACTTGTTTAGACCTAATTAAGTTTAATTGACATCAAACATCACTTATAAACGGAAGGATACTTGTTTTTAGTGGGTAACTACGTGTTTTCTTTGAAATTGAGAGTAAGTGACTTTTTTTATGCAGAGATTACAAACCTTTTGTACTATTTTTGTTTTATAAAAAAAAATCATTTATATAAGTAGGTACAGCTAAATCACACTGGAAAACCGTGGTTTTTATTAAATTAAATTTTCACCTAATAATAACATTTGTAAATATCAAACAATCACGAACCTTAATTTGGAAAAAATAAGGTTTATGATTCATTGATAATTAAAAATTATGTTAAGCGCAAATACAACATGATTTAAAACCCACAAAGTAAAAAGAGTACTATGTACAATTTAAAAAAATGTTAACCTATAAAAATTTCAAATTTTCAAAATATCCAGAAACGAAGCTGTAGGCATTGCAAAATGATGAATATTTTGTTCTGGATAAATTTTCCAAAAACGCAATTTGAGCGAGTTATAACGATTTTTAAAAAGACACGACTCGCGTGTCATACGCCACACAAAATGCAATGCGATGGCACGCCTGGCTTACCATCCGCACTGAACCGGTTAATCAGTTTTATACTGAGGGTTACGGTTACCGTATCAGGCCCCTAAAACATGTGGTACTAGTTTTATTCGTCATTCGTTGTGGATCTTCCTTTTGTGGTAGAATTTCTGGTCATTTAAAATATAATATTATTAAAATGAACAAGCATCTGTTCTAAAAATTTTTTTTTCAAATATTTGCTTAAGCTGGTAGCACTGAAACGGGATGATAATTGGTAGGATTTTCTCTTTTTCCCGATTTAAATACTTGTGGGGGGACGCCCTACACTTCGCCTGCCGGTACGAAGCTGCCACTCGAAAACCTTTCTTCCCCATCGGTTGTCGGTTCTTCGAGCTATATAGCCGGCCCATTGCCACTTCAGCTTACTAATCAGTTGGGCTATGTCGGTCACTCTGGTTCTACTGCGGATATCCTCATTTCTGAGTTTATCACGCAGAGAAACTCCGAGCATAGCCCTCTCCATAGCTCGCTGAGCGACCTTGAGCTTCCTCATCCGGCCAGCAGTGAAGGACCACGTCTCAGTTCCGTATGTCATCACTGGCAACACGCACTGGGTGTACAGTCTCGTTTTCAAGTTTTGAGGTATACCTGACGAGAAGATGTGCCGTAATTTCCCGAACGCTGCCCAACCGAGTTGAATCCGTCGATTAACCTCTCGGTCGAAGTTGGACTTACCTAGTCGAACTATTTGTCCCAGGTAAACATACTCGTCAACAACTTCGAGCTTAGTGTTCCCAACAACTACCGGCATAGGTGTGACATGTACATTAAACATGATCTTTGTTTTGTCCATGTTCATCTTAAGACCTATCCCTTGGGAAACACTATTGAGGTCATTGAGCATAGTGCTTAGGTCCTCCAGCGATTCTGCCATAAGGACTATATCGTCGGCAAATCGAAGGTGAGTGATGTACTCGTCATTGATGTTGATACCGTATCCTTTCCAGTCCAGAAGCTTGAAAACATCTTTCAATGCAGCGGTAAAGAGTTTCGGGGATATGACGTCACCCTGTCTTACACCTCTCTGCAATTGGATAGGTTTCGTACTCTGGTTCTGTACTCGGATAGCCATCGTAGCCCTACTGTACAAGCACTTCAACACTTCGATATACCGACAGTCAACTTGGCATCGCTGAAGGGACTGCAGTACCGCCCAAATTTCGACGGAATCAAAGACTTTCTCATAGTCCACATACGCCAGACATAGTGGCAAATTGTACTCCTCGGACTTCTGTACAATTTGCCGAAGGGTATGTATGTGGTCTATGGTGCTAAAGCCTTTTCGGAAACCGGCTTGTTCGGGAGGCTGGAAGTCGTCAAGTCTGCGCGCGAGACGATTCGTAATGACTCGAAAACAGCACGTAGACGCGGCTCAGAAGGGAAATCGTTGTGTAGTTCTTCAAGAGAGCGTTGTCGCCTTTCTTGAAGAACAATACCACCGCACTTCTGCTCCACGCCTCCGGAGTAGTGCCACCATGAAGGAATTAAAGAGCTTCTGAAGAACTTCAAGTACCGGTTTTCCACCCGCTTTCAGAAGCTCCGCTGTAATTCCATCATCGCCTGGGGCCTTGCCGTTTTTAAGGCGCTGGAGAGCCATTCTAATCTCCCTCAGACTGACGTCCGGGATATCATCGGAATAATGTCGGATAAGACTCGCTCTTGGATCATTACTCACACTTGCGTGCGGCTCCAACGATGACGTGTACAGCTGCCCATAGAACCTCTCAATCTCACTCAAAATCTCAGGTGCCCCGGAAACGATGCTGCCACATTCGGCCTTCAGCTTTGACAGTTGGCTCTTTCTGGCAGACAGATCTCTGGCAAAGACTTTGGAGCCTTGGTTCCGCTCGATCGCTTCTTCAATACGAGCTGTATTGAAGTTGCGTAAGTCCCGCCGCATGCATTTGGAGATCTGTCTGTTCAGTTGCCTGTATGCTGTTAAATCTGTTGAAGAATGTAGCTTCATCTCCCGTCTAACAGCCATGAGATTAAGAGTGTGATCGGAGAGTTTTTGTGTTCTTCTGCGGCGGGTCTTGCAGAACTTAGCTCCGACCGCATGGACAGTTTCCACGAGCTTGTCATTCAAATCGTCCACTTCATTGCAGTCTTCTAGGCACTGAAAACGGTTTTGTAACTCGAGCTGAAAGGTTTCGGGACTTTGGATTAGAGCACGAGGGGGACGGAGCGTTGACTTCATTAGACGAGACCTCTTCAACTTAACGTTTAGGTTCAGTGTGCCTCTTCAGTATTCGGTGATCGCTGCCGGTTTTCACCCTCGCGATCACTGAGACATCATTGAACAGTTGTCGTCTGGTCGTCATAATGAAGTCAATTTCATTTTTTGTCGAACCGTCGGGGCTCGACCAGGTCCACTTCCTGTGGGGCCGCTTCTGGAAGAAAGAGTTCATCATAAAGAGTCCCTCTTTCTCCATGAAGTCGGCCAGCTGCTGGCCCCTTGGGTTCCGTTGCCCTATTCCAAATTTCCTCACTTTCAGCTCACCGTTCTCTCTTGTGCCTAGTTTTGCATTGAAGTCTCCCATTAACACCGTATATTGGGTTTTGGAGGAATGCATGGCTCTAGAGATATCCTCATACATTTCCTCCACCTCCTGATCGGGGTGTGCCGAGGTTGGTGCGTAAACCTGTATGACCTTCAGCGAATACCGTTTGGTGATTCTGAGTATAAGGTACGCAACCCTCGTCGACACACTCTCAATTTTTACAACGTTGTTAACGAGAGACTTGTGGACGATAAATCCGACACCTCCTTGGGACAGATGGTCGCCCTCCCGGTAATAGAGCAAGATGCCGGATTCGAGGATTACCGTGTCCTCCCCCTCTCTTCGGACTTCGGATAATCCTATAATATGCCAGCGTACCTTGTCTATCTCTTCTTCCAGCTCCACAATCTTCTCGTCAGTCCTCAGGGTGCGTGCGTTGTACGTTGCCAGGTCGAGTCGTCTAAGGTGGCAACCGAACCTCCACCGGAGATTCTTAGCACCCCCTGCCCCGCCGTTACCATGGTCGCCACCGTAGCCAGGAATAGTAGGGCCGCCGGGGACTGGGGGCCGTCACTTCGTAACTTTCATCATGGGGGGTATATTGCCATAGTTGCCACGCTTGGGGAGCGGGTTGGCAACCGCAGTTTTTTATTGTATTTTTGCCGTTACCAGGAAGATGCTGCTGCCCATCTCCTGCCTGTTTCCCTTTGTCGCCTTTTACGACACCCACGGGGAGATATGGGGTAGTGGATATTCTTAACCGCCACTACACGGTTTTATAATTATAAAAAAATTATAATTATTATACGTCAATTATCCTGATTGAAAGCCCCTATCTTACAGTTTTTAATTTGTTGTGACTTGAAGGCTATAATAAATTGTGTATTGATAATATGTTCCAAATGAAAATCCGTCAAATCCTATTTTATGCTCTATAGAAGTGACTATGCTAGTATGCAGTCTTTATGGCTGGATCTGGATTGTAAATGTTTTGTAATGTCAGTGGGTAAAATATATCAGGAACTAAAGAACTTGCGTCGTCACGCTCCAAATATAGGCTTTATATGGTTGGTACTTTCAATCAGTCATTGTTCTGAAACAATAACTTAACAGCATCTATACGTCAGGTAAATGTCATCTATTACTAGGACTACCCTCGTAGTTACTAGCATAGACAAAACAGTTCACTGGCCCCAGTTTCAATATTTCTATAACTATCGTTGCTTCTAGAAAAGCCTTTAAATCAATGATTTCCTGTAGTTTTAAATTTGGACGTCAATCATATAGTGGCAGTATCTTCTTATAAACTAAAAGCCCGGTCAGGTGTATTACCAAAACTTTTCAACAGTAAAAAAATCTGTTTAATGAGAGATAGAAATTAATAAGCAGGCAGGTAGTGCTTATAGCAGCTTTATAATAGACATTTGAATCAGGTGATTCGAAATCAGATGACGCGCTTAAATTTGTCTATTTAAAAAAGATCCCAAGTATCTCTTATGCATATGGTGTATGAAATTGAAGACAACTGTCGTACAATTTTGAGCGTTAACGAATATTCTCTATTCGTTAATCTCTTGAATATCCTTCATTGTGTGGGTACTAGATTAATTCGTAAATACAAAAAAATTTTACTTACCCATATTTAGCAAAATTCGTCCACATTTTTATTATTCTGCACCTTGTTATCATTGAATCTCGACTACCTTTGCATAAACTTCCGTCTGGTAAAATTACTGAAAATAAGAAGGGAATTTCTGCTGCGTGTCCAGAATTATTAAAGAAGTCCAACATCTTTGGAACCGACCATTCGCCGCCATAATTAATAATATAATAATATAAAGGACATTCCGGTGCCATCTGTTTTTGTATTCTAATAGTTTTATTCACGTTATATAGGAAATAATAGTCACTCATCATCTGAACATATTGTTGTTTTGAATCTTCTCGAAAAGTTTGTTCACCATCCAAATAAAAATCCAATATCTTCTGACTTATTTTGTTCGATAATGTTTCATTGGCTATAGATTTTGGTACCAGAAGGTTGACATTTTCATTTTTTCTTTCATAATTGTCAAAAAAAATTCCTTTTAAGTAGTCTAATACAGAGGCTTCGGCATTGTTGACACCGATTATAAATGGCACTTTATTAACCACACCAGATTTGAGAATAACAGCGGGACTTTTAGAAAGAAATATTGGTATACTTTCAAACTCGTTCTCTATACAGGGTTTAAAAAGGGAATCAAATGTAACACTCTCACCAAACTGTAACTCTTTTATTAGTTCAATACAAGCTTTCATAATATCCATAGGTGGTACATTTTTTAACTCTTTAACAATTTCAACAATATCTGTTTTCGTGATTTTTAATTCTTTGGCTAATTTGATTACAGGCTGTGTTGGATTTTTCTCTAAAGACCAGTTATTTATTGCACTGGCACTTTGAATGATAGCTTTATGAAAAAGACCTGATGCCATTGGCGATAACATCATATAGTGAACTAGGGACGCACCAGAACTTATGCCAAATATTGTAACATTATCAGGATCTCCACCGAAAGCTCTAATATTTCTCTGAATCCATTGCAAAGCCATTACAATATCTTTCAAGCCATTGTTACCTGGTGCTACGAACTCATTAATGGATAGAAATCCAAATGGTCCCATTCGATATCCACACCTTACAAATACTATATCCTGCTCAACTATTAATTTCGGATCTAATATTGAGTCCATGTAGCAAATAAAACTAAAACCCCCAATCCAGAACATAACGGGTAAGAGTTTGTCAGTGCAAATTTTAGGCGTACAAATTTCAATATAAAGACAGTCTTCTGAACCAACTATTTGATTATTCACGAAATAGCTGAATGGTAGTGGCGCATCTTGAGTGCAATCTAATTCTTCATCCCAAGGTTTAATGGGTAAAGGAGGCTGTAAAATTAGGACATGAATTAAAAAAAAAAACAGTTTCATATATTTATCATATACTTTTAGAATTTCTAGAATGGACAAAAATTAAACATGGAGTTCGTAATAGAATTCTAGAGGAAATTTATCTTTTACCAAGAGCGTATATTGAAATATGCGCAAGTCATATCTACGCGATGGCTCTAGAACGACGTAATATTGACGCACACTACAATGTTCTCTCTGTGTGCGTAACCGGGCGAGCGCAAGGCTAGTTGTTGTAGGCTTAGTTGCACGAACCATTTTTATACTATTGGAACTAAAAGAATAAAATAATTTCCACATAATTATGAAGTCGGTACTAAGACATGGTGTATAGAAGAAGTAAAGCCTCGATATCGGAAGCTAATATGTGGAAATTATTTTATTCTTTTAGTAAATTGAAGTCGGCTTTCCTTTTTTACCATATTGAGTAGAGTATGAAATGTCACAAGGTCAAGGTAACCACTAGAAAGGGGTAAGTAATATATGTTCGAAATGAAGAATATATTTTAAATAAAATAAATATCGTTTGATATACTTTTATTCTATTTCATAAAGTAAACATAATTCACCATTTGTCGATTGCGATTGTCAATCGATTGCCATCGCAGTATCAGCACACGAGTAAATAAACGGAACAGAGATAAAGCTTCATACAACCGCGCGAATCGGTTGCACTACTAAAAGCACGCGGGGCATGTGTGCGTGACCACTGGCCGCTTGTCGCGTACGCGGCGAGATTGGAAAACCCGGTTACGCTGGCACAGCCAGTGGACAACAATATCAGGGTCAGTGCGACGCACGTTGTTTGTTTTGTTTGTTGCAAACTTGAAGATTTTAATGTAAATACGTGGTATTATTAATAATACTAGAAAAAATAAAAATAGATCACATTTTAACTATCCCAAGGAGTAGGTACTAGGTAAGTAAATATTTGATTATTACTTTTTCAAGTAAGTACCTTTATTTTATTGCATAATCCTTTTTTTTAATAGGAAGAGGGTGTGTTTTTACCTTTTTATTGTTATTACAAGCTTTTACTAAACATTTGTAGGTATGTGGGTGGGTTGGTATGTAGTAGGTATGCTAAGTTCACATATTGAAAGTAATATTCGAACCACTTCCCGATGCCGGATTGAGTTGAAATTTTGTACACCGTAATTTCAGTGACATTGCAATAATATTATAGTTATTGTTTTGTTTAAATTGTCTTCACCTATTGTGACAACCCTACCAAAATAGGTAACATTTTTGCACGTTCTTAAGAAGCTTTGTTTCTGTTCCGTTTATCTACTCATATAGCATCAGATGTCTCGCACTTTTTTTGACGCTGCTGCCCGTTGCCGATTTAGGTGTTTACGTGTGGCGTAAACGAGATGGTTGCAGTGCCATCTATAGGAAACCATAAGAATTTTGTAGCATATTCCATATTCGCCTCGTACGACATATACGGAATTACGGAACGCAATGTAGCGATGGATTCTCTTACGCCGCCACCACACAGCACACTTTTGAAAACTTAGTTAATTAAAATTGTAACAAAAATTAAATATAACAATGTAGTAAAACATTTTAATAATTTTCCAATAATTTATGTCAAAAAGGTTATCTATTATTTTTATAGATGGTAGCTAACATGCGTTCTACAATTTTTTACGTAAACTTGAACTTTGGCCTTTGATTAAATGTTTGAGATCTATAACTTGTATAATTTAAATATGAAACTTTCTTCGCTGGTCTTTTGTAAGGACGGATGTACTAGATCAATTTACTAAACCGGTCTTTACCAGTGGTTAACTCAATGCTTAAATTTTAGAGCGTTTGTAAAATTTAAGAGTATGAGTGTGCCCCACCACACTCTTCATGAAGTAATTTTTTAAAGTTAATTGAACTTATTTATTTTCCTTTCAATTTATCCATTAGATCTATTGGGATATTATTTACGATGTTAGGTAGAAGGAGTCGTCACAGGTTAGTTATTTATAGGTTCTATATTAAATTTAGTATATAATTATAAATTCTAATACTGATTATTGGTTCCTTAGATCGCATTCAACTGAGAATTTCACATTGTAATGTTAAAATTTGCATTTATTTACGGAATAAGGATTCTGTCATGACACGAATGCAGCTCAGACAATACGCAGTATGTTAATGTGTATGATGGTACTAATCAAGAATAGCAGAGAAAAGTATAGAATATAATAGATCGATAATGACGAATTAAAAGTTATAGTGGAATCGGATTTATCTCAAACTAAGAAGAAACTAGCCGCAATGGGGAAAATTGAATATCGCGCCGTCATTAAGTTTCTCACCAAACAAGAAAAGACACCTCAAACAATTTTCTAAGAGATGTTAGTAGGTTATGGGGACTTCGCTCCATGGAAAACCATAATTTATAAATGGCACGCCCTTTTCAAACAAGGGAGGGACTCCATTGAAGACGACCCCCAATCTGGACGGCCGATTGAGGCTACCCACGCCAGAAATAATCGAAAAATTTGAAAAACTTGTATCGGAAGATGCCCGGCTAAAGAAAAAACAGCTTGCAGCATTAGTTGGAGTATCAGAAACAATCATTTTAAACATCCTACATCAACACCTTGGCATGACTAAAGTCTGTGCAAGATGGGTTCCGAGAATGCTTTCTGCGCATCAAAAACACGAGCGCATCGAAAGTTGTCGCGAGTTTTTGGACCGATGTGGAGAGCAAACGGAGGAAGTTATGGCCCGAATTATAACTGGTGATGAAACTTAGGTTCACCATTATGAACCTGGGTCAAAGCAAGAGTCGACGCAGTGACATATAAAAGGCACACCCTCTCCTAAAAACTATAAGGGGTCTCAATCGGCCGGAAAGATCATGGCGACGATCTTTTGGGATACACAAGGTATCCTTTTAATTGATTATAAGGAACGTGGTGTTTTCATAATGGGAGAGTTCGCTTCTTTACTAGATCAATTAAAAGAAGCTATTAAAGAAAAAAGGCGAGCAAAGCTTACAAAAGGCGTGCTCCTTTTGCACGACAATGCGCCCGTGCTCACAATCCATGTTGCGACGGCTACTATTCACCGGTGCGGTTTTGAACAACTATGCCACCCACCCTACACCCTATAGCTCGCAGAACCGACAACCGATGGAGAAAAAGGGTTCTCGAGCGGATTCTTTCTTACTGGTAGGCGAAATGTAGGGCGACCCCGCACTAGATGGAGTGACGTCCTGGTAAGACGTGCAGGAAGTCGATGGATGTAGGTGGATCAGGACCGTGCTTTGTAGCATTCCTTGGGGGAGGTCTATGTTCAGCAGTGGACTTGTGAATAAGAAATTTAAAAAAGAATTAGTGTTTATGTATTTCTGGGCGGTAAAAAAAAAACAACCACGAAGGCTGTGGCGGGAGCTGCACTGCGCTATGCTCCAGCCACAGCCTTATAACCTAACTCAACTGAAAGGATTTCTGGGTGTAAATTATGTAATAATCATTTCTTTATTGTTTGTAAACATAATTTATTATAAGAGCATAGACCACCGAAGAATTTTTTTCCATAGAAGTGTAATAATGTGACATTAGACTTTGACATGGTCTTACGTCTTACGTAAATAATTGTGGATTTTCACACATAAATGTGACGAGATTATATCTGTATTAAATATCTGGACTTGTTAACTATTAGTGAAATGATGAAACAAGTGCTCTGATGTTGATATCAGCGATGGGCGTTGAATGGACCAACTAGTGAATTCGATCGTCGATGTACTGCGAACTAGTAGACCGGTTTACGAACAATGATCAATGCACTAGTCGAATCCGTAGACGGCAAAATTGAAACTCCATAACGTTCATTTCAAATAGCAACGCGACGACCGACGCGAGAACGTGGTCGGATAATAGATAATTCATAATTCGTTGAAATGACATAATTGCGCAACCAGTTTAGTTTAAGTTTGTACGTGGTAGAGCTATGCTGCAGCTATACTACTGGTACAGTTGTAGCACGAATAGGTCGGCTCGACCGGAGAAGGACCACGCTTTCACAGAATACCAGCGTAAAATAGCAGCTTCATGCTGCTGTGTTTCGTATGATGAGTGTAGAGAACCGGAGACCCTTTTTACTGGAAAAGAGGCATTCCATCTTAGTCCTCACGGGTGACAACGCATCTGCATTTTGATTCGTAATCGAGGATATATGCAGATTGCTATGGGTCACAGCAACCACTTACCATCAGATGGACTGTGTGCTCGTTTGTCACCCTAATCCCTATAAAAAAAAGTAGGTAAGACAGCGTAAGAGTATAAATGGCAGTTTGTTATTGTGCCAGCTGTAGAAAAGGATGCCGTCATAGTATCATTGCGTGTGCAAAAGAGAAGGGCGACTTAATAATAGATGACTTTATACATCATGCCGCTACACTAGTCTACGGTCTACTTATGTAGACTATGTCGAGCCATAGACGACGTCGCAGAGTTTAAATTTAAACGTCTGCAAAACCAAGTTGACGCGTAAACTAGTTAATCGACTAGACGATGAACGAAAATGGACGTTCTAGTTTCTAAGTACTCAAGTTATTAAGTATACATAAGCGCCTTAAGTACTTGTTATACTGTTGTTGTGTGTGTCATTTCAACTGTCTTCTGACATATGCTGTCATCGAAATCTCATAAGACGTTTCTATAATGCACCGTGGATTGATCGCGATATTAGAGGCTTTATCGTATGTTACAATGTTGAATTACAATCAATTTGTCATATTATCAGATTCTATAAGCACCCTTTTACATTTGGCTCGACTACCCTCGAGATTTTGGATAGCCAATAGTATCCTAGATTCCATTTGTAAGCTTAGTGCATTAAGTAATCTTTCAATGGATACCTTCTCATAAAGGCATATTGGGTGACGAGGAGACTGGCTGATCGAGCTGCGAACAAAGCTATTAATGACGGTATTACATATAGTATTTAACCAGTACACAGCGAACGTG